CCGCACCGGGGAAGGTGGAAGTGATTTTGTAAGGGCTTCTCCGCCTAGCTGTGGGGGATAAAGGAGAGACACTTTTGTAGTGCAATATTTGGAGGGTGCCTCCAAGGAGTGGACGTAGGTCAAGGTTTGACCGAACCACTATAAATCCGGTGTGTTCTTTCTTTTTACTACTTCCGCATTTATTTAATTTCCGCACTTTGTTTGTGGTGATTTGGTTTGTGATTTTATTTCTTTGTGTAAAGAATTTAATTACCATTCACCTCTTTTCTTGTTAGCCTTGGGCCAGTTCTATAGGGCTTAAGATCCCTAACGAACTTTCATTAATAATAGAAATGGTTGAAATTTTAGATCAGTATGTGTGACATGTTGAGTCGTGTTAGTTCACTGTGATTTCACTTTCTATTTTTTGAGTCTCATAAGGGAAAGGGTCAGTTGACTAGTAGTTTCAGGTTTTGATCTGAGTGCGTAGAGGTATTTACTTTTGATTTTGTAAAGTCGTTACTATTTTTATTCCTCTATTCTTTAGCTCTATTTTTAGCCATGCACTATAGTTATATATACATTTTGGTGACAAATAAAATTTTTTTATGAGTTTATTTTTGATATGAAATATTATTAGTAGCTTTGTCATTTATTTCAAGTACAAATTTGGAAGAAATTCTAAAAAATTTCAAAAATATATTTTGAGATTTATTTGTAGCAAGCCAACACGATGGAACATGTTTGGTCTATGAGTCCGTTTTGAAAAATGATCATAAAATAAAGCTATATGAAATAATATGTAAGTTAAGTTAGATAGTTTTGGGTCTATCTGGACATTCATTTCTGTTTATTTTCATGTACATTTATATGTATTTGAGTAATTTATATGATTATGGATATGCTAGACCCATATATGATAAATGGACAGACTGCCAGTTTGGCAGCACATGTACATAATATTGCCCCTACACTCGATTTTGATATAATTTGTTAGTCCAATAGCTAAACTAATGAGCAAGACATAGAGCTGAGCTCCTAATATTCGATTTGATGATGTAGACAGACATCTACATATATTTTGAGATTGAAGCCTCAAATATTTGATAAGGTTGTTATTGAGTCCAAATCAGGAGAGGTGTAATAGCCCGTATTTTGATATAGGCAAATACTTTTTTTTTCAAGAGTCATTATAAGTCAAATTTAAAAATTGTTTGCACAATAAGATATCTATTATTATGTTTTAATTACAAGAATTTTTTCATATTTTTTTGCGCTAGTGAAAATCTTTAAGAAATTAACACCTGTTGGTACAAGTAATGATATTGGAATCGTTAGGAGTCCATTTTGTAAACTAATTTTATTAATATTTTTTGAAAAAAATATTTTTATGAATTTTTTTTATTTTTAAAGCCCAAAATAATTTATATAAAATTTATATTAAAAGTGCTTAAATTAAGTAGTATATTAAATAATTATATTATATTATATAAAAATGTCTTGAAGCACTAATATATTTCTAGTAAAAGCCATTTAATCCCTAAGCATTCACCTAATAGATAAATAAAAAGGTATTTTAGGATAGAAAGAAAAGAGAGAGAAAGGAAAAGCTAGGATTTGGAGGTTGCTGAGCAAGAGCAATTTTCGTTAGTCGAGCCAATTGGGTTTGCTCGTCTCGCCGTAAGGAATAATTACCCTATTTAAAATTTTAAAGAATTTGTATTTTTTGTATTTTTAGTATTTTTTATCAATTTTATATTTTCATTATAAAAAAAGGACGATAATTTTATATTGGCAAAACTTTCACCATGTAATGTTTTATACGTTATAGAGTTTGAGATTATGAACATTTTGAGTATTTACTTGATATGTTTCACTGGGTGATTTTAAAAATACAACAATTTTTACCTATTTAGATAATTTGATGTCTTAAAAAGTTTTTTAGTTCAACTAAAACTTTAATATATTATTTTATGTAATATTTGATAATTTGGTAAATTTCTGAAAAAAAAAATTTTATGCTCAATATGATTTTGGTTGCCTACCATTAGGGCATCTTAAAAATTTATAAATTAAGCTCAGTTATTCTTTATTTGCTACTATGCATTCGAAATAAATATGAATATATAATTGAGATAATTATTATAGTTGTGTGATAATAATGTGTGTGTAAAAGATAAGTAAAGACTAGTTGACATATTGGTTGGAGACTGATTGATCTATACAGATGGTGGGCCTACAAACTTTTCTTTAAATATTTTAGTTTGATGTTATCCTCTACAAATTGACGTGATACACTGATTGGAAGCTATAAGAAGATGATTAATATACCGATGGGCAAACATTGATGACTCTATTTACTGAGCAAATGGTTATTGATATTAACACGGATACTAAAAAATATCGTTATAACCAGAATTCTTACTTGTTTAGTATGAATATTGAAATGAATGTTATTGGAGCATTGTTCATATTACTATACATATTTATTATTAACACTATGACTAATTTATTGATATAAAAAGCATGATATATTCATTGAGCACGTGATATACATGATATATTGAGCTTGTGATTAATATATTAATTTAATGCTAATATAGAATAAATTGATATCATGTGTACAATTCTATATAATTTTACTATATTGATTTTATTTTTATAATCATTACAAATATTTTGATTTGATGTTTTGTCTGATTTATATACAAAATGATTTTACTGATATGAAGATTGATTTATATATTTGACACTCATACTAGTTTAATAATTTATTGACTTCTGTATCATAGTGTTTTACTGTTTATAGATTTTACTACAACTGCATGTGAGTTTTACTATTTTCTGCACTTATTCAATGATCATATGAATATTATTACTATAATTTGATTCATAACATGTATATTGCTCCTTTATCATGCTTTGAATTCAGATGTAGATTTTGGTGATATGCTGGATTTTTTTATCTCATTATATGTGATTAAATGGTTTGAGGTCAGGACAAAGGAGCAAGAGTGTGAGATTGACCAAGATTCTTTCAGGATCAATTATTTATTTATTTTTTAACTATTTTTTGTACTCAGGACAGTAGTTGCGATATGATTGTATAGATCTTGAGTAGTGTACATGATTTATGGAAATAAATACATATGTATATATTGATGTACATTTTGATTAATAATTTAATTTTTGCTAATATTTATATTGATAAAATAAATTAAATGGCTCTGATTGTTATATATTAAAAAATAAAAGAATAATTCATTCAAATTAAATTATGAGGCATCACAATTGGTATCCAAGTATAGTTTTTGGAAGAATTTATTGTTACTTGAGCTGTAGGAATTGATTAAGAGTTAGGTATAATGGATAGCTTCTCGCATGGGGATGCTCTTATAATGCTAAGCACATAAATTTAGAATGAATATTAATTATTAAGTTATTTTGCTTGTGCGCATTTATTCCGAAGTGAACGATTGCTTGAGTGTTTGAGTTTAAAACCCTTATAGAAGAGCCCATAAGGAATAAATATGATCTTTGTGACAATAAACTATTTGCAGAGGTTGATTTCAACCTATCTTTGCTTCATCACCGATTATTTTAATGCTATCACATACCCAAGTGATCTTTCATTTTAGAGTAGAAGCTCACAAGAACAATAAAATAACTCAAGAAAAACTTTATTTCAAAATAAAAAGTTAACATTAAATGAAAGGGGGAGATAAAAATTGCACAAGCCTACCTCCAAATTCAAACCTATCACCATTAATTTCATACTCACCAACATTATCATACATAACATCATTATTATAACTTATAAGTACCATTATTGTCATACATATCATAGTCCCTAATAATATAACATCTTTCGCATGTCATGTCATAAGAAAATGCCTAATATACATCATGACCTAAAAGTCCAACACCATTCTATACATCTAGGTGATAAAGAAGTACAAGATATAAAGGGTCTAAAATATTATTATATGTGGTACACAAATACTATAATTTAGGATGATGATGACCATAATTACAATGATTATTTGCATTATTTGTACCCATTGATTTTGATGCTATTATATAAATCTCATAATTTGTTGTGTCATAATTATTTTATCTAACTTATAATCAATCTTGTAGTATAATGTGCTAAGGCTATTGGAATGCACCATATTGTATCTTTAATAAATACATAATGATCAAATATGGTTCCATTTGTGCTCTAACCTCAAATGAATAATATATTTTTTAAGATTATTATGTTAAGGTTATGACAATGATGATATTATTTAAGCCCTCAAATAAACTAATTTTATTTTATCTTTAATATTTTTTAACTATTCTCAAAATTTTATATAATTTTTTAACCACTAATGAATTACTCAATGAACACATAATTTAAGTAAAAAGAATTATAAGTGACAACATAAATTTAGAAATATTACTATTTTTTTTAAAATATCATCAATATTAAAATTTATAATAAAATCTCTAGTGATATATTTTACTTGAATAAAATTCATAATAATTAATTATTATGATACTCACATATATATATATATATCAATGTTATAATTTAAGAAAATAATGCAAATATTAACTTTATAAATAAAAAAATTTGGGATGTTATGAATGTAATTAACCTTTAATTTCCTTTATAATCACATTATTAGTGTATATGCGTATGCTTAGGAACACTAGAGCACTTCCCACAAGAAAAGCTCGAGGGTTGTGGATTTGGAATACTTTTTCTTGCTACTTATCTCTCCTACGTCAGAAGGCGCTGCGATCTCCGGCGAGGCCCAAAACCTGTTCGTCTCTCGGTCCGTCGTTCTCGCCGGCGTCAACTTATGTATGCGTCTATCAATTCCGCGTTACGATTCTTTATTTATTTTGATTTGAGCTTGTTATTTTATTCGGCGTTGTTTTAAAGCTAAAGTCCTGCAATAAAAACCCTCGGCTCGTCTTTGTTTATATAGCATTGGACGACCGGACGCTTCCTCTTACTGTCATTCTCTCGTCTTTCTTCTGCTACAAGTACGCAGATTCGTCTTCAGCCAACGTGGAAGGAGGAATCGGCCAATATGTTTGGCTCCACCAATCGTATGTTGATCTTTCGATTCCTCTTGCATTTTCTGTTTTGGTTTCGCATAGGACTCATCGGTTAATGTTGGCTAATATGTTTTTTCTAGTATTTGCTTCGGAGGAGCGCGATTGAAATCTGTAATGGCGTCGGAAGAATAAGACTTTTTTTTGTTTGAGATTTGAAGTTTTTTTTTTCCTTCATGGATTCGTTTTTCCACTTGTGCTGGGGCTTTTGTTTTGATCTTCTATGTATTTGTTTTGGCGTGGGTTCTGGAACGACTTGCTTATGGTGAGGGATTTTTATTTCGCTAATGGATTTTGTGAATTTAGGAATACCGGCGGAAGCTAGTTTGGTTTTTTCTTGTAATTTACCTTACTTCAGGAGCTTAGTGCTTTCAAAGCACTTTTGATTTTTGGAAATTCTTGTTCTAGTACGTGCTTATAGTTTCTTCCCTCGTTTATTTATGCTTATGATTTCTAACTGACTTGAATTTTCTCTTAATATGTGTGTTTAATTGAAGGATATTTATGAATTATGCAATTCTTTGCCTTCAGAGAAATGCACTAACTCCATATTTTTCGTTGTTTCACTTGTTGATGTTCAGCTTTTGGGCAGTCTTCAAGCAGCCCGTTTGGTTCTCCTTCAGTGTTTGGGCAAACAAACAGTGCTGCCAATAACCCTTTTGCTCCAAAGCCATTTAGTAGTCCAAATCTTTTTAGTTCTCAGACAGGTCTTTCAGCGTTCGGCGTATCAACTGGGGTCTTTGGGCAACCCACTACACCGGCATTTGGTGCTTCATCTACACCAGCATTTGGTGCTTCATCTACGCCAGCATTTGGGAGTTCAATGCCTTCCTTTGGGGCTTCATCTACCCCAGCATTTGGGACCTCTTCGTCTTCTTTTGGTGGTGAGTAGCTATTTGAGGTGATTGTTGAACATGTTCTTTGAGCAACTGCTTTTTGATGGAATGGTAGAAATGGAGTTGAACATTTGCAAGGGTAATTCTTCCATGCATTTGTGTTTATTGGCTGTATTTTTGTTCCACTCTAATGCCTGTGCGCACACACATGAACATGTGATGCATCTTTAAGCATACGTATGATATCTTATTCCATTTAAGCACTTACTTCGTAGTAGTCAACTAAAGCTTAAGAAGCAGATATGAACAATGCTTTAAATATAAATTTGTTGTCTCAGATTTTGTATAAACATTCACTGCAGTCATATATTATTTGAGCTTCTTATTCTTCAGTAGGTTTGCCTTTTTCATCGGACCATTATTAATCTGCTCTCTTTTCAAAAAGCTAATGTACATGTTAATGGAATGAATCAAGTTCATGAGGCTATTATAATCCATTCTTTTGAAAAAGGGTGAAATTCAAGGCATTGTAATGAATAACATTTATATTTTTATCATATTTTACCTCATTTTTAATTTAGTGAACTAACTAGTAGGAACAATCTGATTCTTATTTATTTATGAACGCGATAGTATCAAATCATGATAGATTATGTTGTTAGGACATTAGCACGCTTGCTAATATTTTTAATTTGTATTCCTGCCATGTTTCATTAATGTGGAAAAGTAAAATTTGAGCAAGTTTTAGAATTTGCAGACCCCGTTTCTGCTATGAAATTTAACAAGAAATGCAATATACATATTTACATCGGTTCTTTGATTTTTGCCAAAATGATTTCGAGAAGTTTGAATCTTTTATTTAGAATGCAGTCGAAAGGGATTCAGTGTTAGCTGTTTTCGGATCCCAAGTTGCTTTTCCTATTTGATAAGAGTTATTCTTTTTATTATATCTTTGAAGTAAATACTGCAATAATGTAAAGAGAATATCATTGATTTATTTTTTCTGAATATTTGCTTGTAATTTGTTAATTTAGCGGGCTGCTTGATTTAATATTTGAATACCATTGTTATCTAATTAACATTGGAACAAATACACCCTTAAAGCTTTCATTTATTGTCATTTGAATTCGTTTCTCTTCTTGTTTGAGAACATGTCATCTTCTATTCTGTGAGATCTCTGCAAATTGTAGGCCTTACATTTAATTTCATCATGCATTTTTTAAATTTATGTGATTATTTTGCTATTTATCTTCCTTATTTTTATTAGGATCTTCTGTTTTTGGGCAAAAACCAGCTTTTGGAGGATTTGGATCTACTCCCAGCCAAGCTAGTCCATTTGGCAGCTCATTTCAACAAACTCAGCCAGCATTTGGAAGCAGTCTGTTTGGTTCTTCCTCACCATTTGGTGCTTCAAGTCAACCTGCGTTTGGTGCCACTAGTGCCCCAGCATTTGGTTCAACAAGCTCGCCAGCATTTGGTGCAACTTCTACCCCAGCATTTGGTGCATCAAGCACCCCAGCTTTTGGTGCTGCTAGCACTCCAGCCTTCGGTTCTAACACCACACCAGCATTTGGCTCTACAACAACCCCTTTGTTTGGTAATACAGGAATGTCATTCGGGGCATCCAGTACCCCAGCATTCGGTGCTCAAAGCACATCATTGTTTGGTTCTTCAAGCACTCCAGCATTTGGTGGATCAAGTACTCCAGCTTTTGGTTCTTCCAGTTCTCCAGCTTTTGGTGGATCAAGTACATCTTCCTTCAGCTTTGGTTCTTCACCATCTTTTGGCCAGTCGACACCCACATTTGGTAGCTCACCATTTAGTTCAACGCCCTCGCCTTTTGGAGCTCAGAGCTCTCCATTTGGTAAGATTTCACAACATTTTATTTGTTTGGCTATTCAGTAGATTCTTTATGTAATCAAGCGGGCATGGTGCTGTTCTGGTTATTTGTAGCAATTTGAATTTATTTTTTTAAATATTGTTTTTCATTTGAGCTTTTCAATTACGGCAATCTAATTAATTACTCTTGCCAATTTGTCCTATTTGCAATGTTTATTTTCTCATATTACTCACTCATATCCTTGGTGTGATTTATATTATCCAGGAACTCAGACACCAACACCTACATTTGGGAGTCCTGGTTTTGGACAATCAACTTTTGGGAGTCAAACTGGAGGCAGTAGAGTAGCACCCTATAGTGCAACACCAGAGCCTGATGCTAGCGGTACACAGCCTGCTGGAAAGCTAGAGTCAATATCTGCAATGCCTATTTACAAAGATAAAAGCCATGAGGAATTGAGATGGGAGGATTATCAACGTGGCGATAAAGGTAGGACCATTGAAAATTGCATTTTGGCATAAATATTTAGCGGCAATTTTTGTGTCTAGGAGGCCGTGGCAATCATTTTATTTAGAATCTTATAAACGAATTGCTGTTCATAGCTTTTTTTGTTGGATTTACATTGAGAAAATGGTCATTAGATTATTTGTAAGGAGTCTTTTTAATCTCATTGATGAGGTCATCGATAGGAGATTTCGGCGCGTCTATCAGAGACGACCACGGAGATCGACGGCCATGATGGAGAGCCTCTATTATTGATTTTATTTGTACTAGCAGTTTATATGTTATGCATTTATTTTCTTAGTTTTTCCATTTTACCCTTGAGGGTATTAGTTGCTCTTGTAGCCCCAAGGGGCATTTTAGACTTTTGCATTTACTTTTATTTGGAGCCTATTTATATGACCCCTTGTATCTTGTATGGAATTAATGAATTATTGGATGAAATTTGCTACTATTGATCTCTTTGTGAGATCTCCATTCCCTTAGATCTCTCCGTGAGTTCTTGAGGGAATTCTCGTGGATCTCTGTGTGAGTTCCGGTATTCTTAATATTTCACTTTGCCAGTTTTAAAGAAAAAGAGGTACGTGAGTTTAGAAATTCTGAGTTTTCTCAACTTAATTTTTCCTGCTTTTAAGCTCTAGAATTCCATCTCCCAATCTTCCTTGCCACCGGCCCTGTTGGCTCGGCCAGAAGATTGGCCGCCAGCCAATTAAGCCGCCCGCTGCTAGCCAGGCTGCCGACTCCACTTCCCCCATCCAGCAACTTCCCCTGCCGCCGGATCCCCCCCCCTCTTGATCCAGATGTGTTTGGGTTCCAGATTACCCCAAATTAAGCATTTTCTTTATTTACATGAATGTGTGTTGTAGCATAATGATTTTGATAGGAAACACTTGAGATCTTAAGTGAAACCTAACGATCTTGACAAAAACCGCGATAACGATCATCCAATTCAAAGGAAAAATCAATAGTTTTTATTGTGATAATCAAACTAACGGAAGAAAAATATCAAGATACAATTGATCCTCTATTTGAGAGGAGGATATCTCTCTCCCAAATCTCTAGACGCCGCCAGAGCTAAAAAACCTAAACCTAAGAGATCTCAAAATTCAGCCAAATTCAAGATGTTTTAACCCTAGGAAAAAAAAACTATTTAATGCATACAATTCAAAAGGAAATCCCTAAACAACCCCTACTTTGAAATTTCCCTCCCAACTCCCTTCAAAAACTTTCCTAAACAGCTCTGTGAAGAGTTGGGCGGTCGGATCCTGCGTACAGGAGGCAAAGAACTTCCGCCTATTTTCCGTAAGCCGGTCCCGTATGGACCGGTCTAACAATACTCCCATCCCAAAGATCCACCTTGTCCGCAAGCTGGAAAGATAACACATTCCTCCATTCCCTCGCCATCACAAATGGTAAGCACTTGAAGAGCTCGGTCCTTACACCTGTGCCCAAGAGTATACTTCTCATCACATCTGAAATAGAGCCCTTTCGCCTTCTTCTCCTGTAATTCCGTTTCTGTGAGCTTCTTGATGTTCTCCCCATGTCTTCCTCCTGCAATATTTTCCTTTGAAGTCCCCCGAAGAATATTTGGTGTTAGCTCCTTGGATGTCAATAAGATGGTGGTTATCCTGTACGAGCCTCCTGAGCTATTGCCTCCCATTACTCTCTCCAGGTGCCTCTGATCCTCCACCAACTGAGCTAGCTTCATAGCCTCTCCCAAGTCACAAGATTTCATCACTCTAACTACTGCTCGGATCTCTGGTGTCAGTCTCTTCATGAAATTTTCCTTCAGCACTATCTCAGGAAGGCGGTCCAATCGGCTAGCTAGGTACTCGAATCTCTCCCGGTATTCCATCATTGAACCATCCCGTGTCAAGGCGAAGAATTGTTCGTAAAAGTCTCCTCCCCTGCCAGTTTGGAACTTTCAGCAAAAAAAAAAAAAAAACTTTAAGCCCCTGTCAGTTCGAAAACGTTCTTTTAAACAATCCTTGAACTCCCTTCAACTCTGTATGAGTTGTCGCATGTCCCTCTGCATGTACCAAGTCAAAGTCTTCCCTTCCAAACATAGGCTCGCTGCAGTCAGTCTCTCTTCCTCCGTCAACTTAAGTTGACGGCGAAGTATCTTTATACTTTGTAGATCGACCCGTGCACATCTTCTCTCTCAAAAATAGGCATACTCAGTTTCCTCACTCTCAGATCTCCTCCGTCAACCTTGCTTCCTCCAAAATTTCCCATTTCCCAAGGGGGTGGTTTCCCCCAATTGTGCCAATCATCTCTCCTTCGTTCACACCCAACCCTTTCATCACAAACCCACTTTCCCCCTTCAAATTCAACACCCCTTCGATCATACTCAACTATTCTCCTTTTAAATTCGACACTTCTTCGATTATAATCAAGTCATCACCTTTCAAATTCAGCCCCTCTTCTTTCAAATTCATCACCCGTCCACTCAAACCAACCCCCTCACGCCTCTCCACACACCCTCTACCTGTCTCCTCCCTAGGAATAGGCCCTAGGGGAGGCATTTTTTCTATTCCTTCCATAATCTCCACCTCTTGATCTTTCCTTCATCTGATCGGCTTAGGGTTTTCCCCATTTCCTTGGCTGTCGGCGCCTTCCCTTACCTCCGACGGCGATATTTTAGTTTGGCCCTCGAGCAGTTTCTTCAACATCTCTTCTAAGATGAAAATTTTCGAATCTAACTTATCATAGAAGGCTGAAATATCTTTTTTTATATCTAAAACTTGAGTTTGGAGATCTCAAATCTCAGATTTCATTTGTCCGATCTCTCTTTACAATACTTTCACCTTTCTTTCAGTCATGGGAACCTGGATTTCGGTTCCAATAGCAAAGATCAACAAGTTTGACGCGAATCTGGCTTCCCAAACAGCAAAAACAACAAGATCGGAGAGGAAAACGCAGCAAAAATCAGTGAGGAAGACTTCTATTTCAGCCCAAGAAATTACTTTGTTACCAATTTAATAGGAAACACTGGAGATCTCAAGTGAAACCTAACTATCTTGATAAAAACAGCGAGATAACTATCTCAAGCAGAATCAGCGAGAACGATCAACAAATCCAAAGGAAAAACCGGAAAAAGTAGTTTTTATTGCGATAATCAAACTAACGGAAGAAAAATAACAATATACAATTGATCCTCTATTCAAGAGGAGGATATATCTCTCCCAAATCTTTATACGCAGTTAGAGCCTAAAAACCTAAACTTAAGAGATATCTAATTTTAGCCAAATTCAAGATGTCCTAACCCTAGGAAAACAAACTATTTAATGCATACAATTCAAAAGGAAATCCCTAAACAGCCCCTACTTTGAAATTTCCCTCCCAACTCTCTTCAAAAACCTTCCTAAACAGCTCCGTGAAGAGTTGGGCGGTCGGATTCTACATATAGGAGGCGGAGAACTTCCGCCTATTTCCCGTAAACTCGGTCCCGTGCAGTGGACCGGTCTAACAGATTTAAACTGTGAATTCTTTCAACTCTTTTCTTGAAATCATAGCTTGGCAAGATATTAATATTTTAGAAGAAATCCTAACTCCTTAATTGGATGCGGGTCTCTATTTGTGTTTATTTCCGAATTAATGCGAAAGCTTAATAGCTAACCATTCTTCAAGTTGAAACTATTGAAGCATTCTTCAAGTTGAAACTATCAAAGCATAACTAACCTTAAGAAAAAAAAAAAAAAACAGGAAAATTATGATGTATAATGGCATGAACAACGCAATCCATAATAAGCAACTTCTAATCTATAGAAAAATATTTATTGACATTATATTTTTTGTGTTTATAGAGTTATATATGAGACGAACTTCTCTCTTTCTAGGAGAATGGTCATTCCACTCCAGGGAAATTTATTGTTACCCAATCCAATTGCCTCATTTACAAGTTGGGACTATAAGACCGCACTCGCCTTTTTTAAAAAAAAATTTCACTTCTTTTTATTTTATTATAATTGTTCATCTGTTATGGTTATACTCTTTGTGCAGCATCGGGAACCAGTTGGTTCAAAATTGACTGATCTCTCAGGACAACTTCAATATGTTGACAATATAAAATTTGAAACAAACTGATTTTTATGTCTTTATGAGCCCATTTTCTTTAAAATCTTTTTTTTAATTATTTTAAACTAGTTTGAAATGCTGCGAGGAAAATGAGACCGCATCCTTAATTAGTATTTAATTTACATTAGGATCTTTTGTCTATGAACTTGCATTCCTAATTGGGGCATTGACATTATGAAGAATTCTTGTAACCTTTGTTTTGCCTTTATAATTTTAGTCTCGCAGATTCAACAACTTGATGCCCTGAGAGTTAAATAGCAATATCTTCAGGATTCCCTGTTTGCTATCATTTTGTTTTTATTTCTTATAATTTCCTAGAATTGTTCACAATTATGCTACTTGCTGTACGCCAATTTGGTATCATAAAATTTATGTTGTTTTTCTATCTAAGTATGATCTCTTTTTTTTTTTCTGTAATTTTACCTTGATTTCAAAAAGTTTTGCATTTTTCTCCTTAAACGTGCGTTTTATAATAATCTAACTTGCCTAACCCTCACACTATGATAGATCGCTTGACATAGGGTTGGATAGACTAGTCCATATAAAAATTTATAATATCATCTCATAATGTGAGTCATTCAACACAGCCACAAAGCCACTAATTTGTCTTAATCTTGAATAATCTAAATTCTAAACACGAAGATAACTTTTGAATTCCAATGCATCATCATCGTCAACGTTGCTGTTATAATATCAAGCTATTGAATTCCTCACTTTCCATATGTGGGATTTTTATTATTTCTCTTACTAATAATTGCAATTTCTCCATTTTTTCATCAATGAACTTGGTGATTAGCCACCATTCAATAAATATGAATTTTATTGTAAAGAACATTATATTAGCTTTGCATGACTAGCGTTGAATGCGAAGATCATGATATTTGATCAATTCCAACCTCCTTATCTGTATA